GGCTCTGTCAGCCTACAGGTTTAGGTACTGCCACTCCTCATCTTGTGTGATCCATTGTCAATGCACTGGGACATTTCTCTAAGACCAGTACTACCAGCAAAGAAAAACAAATCAGGATGCCCAAACACAGAGAGAAACACTGGCAAACACTACTGGCTCCCACCAAAATAACACCATAAAGTTCATAGCCACTGGGGGAATCTGTGCTGAACTAGCTTCAGGACCCATCTGATTTGAGAGTGGTTGTGCAGCGGTGGTTGTGGCAGAGTGGATTTTAATAACTCATCGCACAAGGCTCAGGATGTCCTATCCATTCTCCAGGCTCCCACTTCTTGGATTCTTTCGACTGAGGTGATATTTTATAGTCTTCACCACTTTCCTTCTTTTCTTAGTCCCTCTGCTCTCCAGCAAGAGATACTGTGATGTGATCAGAACGGCCCCATTGACCACTGTCAAAACGTAGATGGTTTGAGATCTACCACCTCCCATTATTTTACCCTTATCTAGTGAGTTGAGTATTAACTTCAGTTTCATAAGGATCCTGACCATGTAAATTATAGTCTGGGGCTAGCATTTTGTATGGAATTGAGTTTGGGATTACAATCTCCTTAAGAACTTTCCTCTGATTTTCTTTTATCTCCTTTGCAAGCACTGCAGGAAAATTAGTTGCTGCAAAGTATACAGTCTGCTCAAAGCATGCCATTACATGTGGCAGTATATCATGACTGGTGAACATGTTTTCCTACAACATATGGCAGCTTGTGTACTGCACTGCACAAAGATACAGGAAAACAATACAACCTGTATTGCAATACACTGTTTTCCCACAATATATTGCAACATACTGCATCGTGATGTATCACTGTCCACCTTCTCCCTTCACGACACTATAGCATGCTGCATCTAATCCCCATATGAACAACATGTGGGTGTTATATAGCAGTTTTCACCTAGAGACTTCTCATTTTACAAAAGTGAGAATCATTGGCTCCATTTCACAGATGGCGAAACAAGCACAGAGAAGCCAGTGGCCAGATTATAAACTGTTTACTGCCACACTGGAGAGTGGTAACTCATACAAATAGCCCCACCGACTATATGTGTGAGTAGCTGCTTTGCAACAGAAACAAATCTGGCCCTGCATCACTTGCCCTGGTGTACAAAGCAAATCAGTATCTTAATATCACAGGAAAGTCTGGGTACCTGCCAATTATTCTAGTAATGGCTACAATCTTCTGGGCTATTACCACAGAATGCCCTAGTGTGTTCTTATAAGAAATGGCAGAGCCAGAAATAAAACCCAAAGTTCATGGTCCTCAGGCAGTATCCATATCATGGGATTATTCATGTATACTCTTCCTGTCTTTTGAAGCAGTACATCATTATAATTTGCTTAGTCTTCACATCTTCCTGCTCCTTGTGGAAACGACAGGATGCTGTCTTCCATTGTACGTTCATCCAACTAGCTATTTTCCTTGATTACTGGGTCTCTAGCACAGCAGGTTTCTCCCTAAGTCAGGTTTAGTCCCTGAGTGTCTTAGCTGGCAACCATTCCACTCACTGACAGATGAGGACTGAATAAGGCTAGATCCAATTGTTAAATGTGAAAAGTCATTTCAGTCACCCCTCTCCGTGGAACTGTCCAAGTCTTTTAGCTCTGCTAGGCTTTAGTCTTTGCTCAGCTAGTCTTCATAGCAGGCGATCCCATCCACAGGGCCCTGCATGTTTCTTAGAGCAGCAAGGGGCCTTCTGATTCTTCCAAACTTCCTTCTGTATCAAAAGAAACTTCACACACAAACTAGCTTCATCAGATCCCTTTAGAGAAGGGAGCTCTCTTCCATTATCCCTGTAAGAAACTGCCTGTGTGACCCAACAAGGCTTCTCTAGTTGTTGTTGGAGTACTTTTGGATTCAGTAAGAGAGCTTTCTATACATTATGCTGCTCTACAGGGAACACTTTGTGGACTGTACACCTACCAGTGCACAAGAGTCACCTTGTGATCAGGACATAAGAGGCCAGCACTAGTAATCTATGTTTGTACCATGTATTCAGGAAGCATTTGGTAGAAGCGAAGGCCCCTGTTCTCCACTGCAGCTGAGCTAGGCTCTGGCATACTGGGCAGTGGTGGATATAAGAACCTGGATACAGCTCCCTAATCCCCAGCTTCTTAGCCTCAATTCAAATTAGTGTAAGCCCCCTCCTGCTCTGACTTCTTGCATAGTTTCTGGAAGTTGTATACATGAATTCAGGAAGCTGGGAAATTTAGTCTAGAAAATCTGGTACCCATTGGTTTCAATGGGTATTGGAATGAGTCAGGCCTAAAGTGAGAATCAGAAGATGGGAAAGATGATCTGCTCAGGGGAAGATATCTAAGAGCAATACAAGTAGTGTGCAGTGGACTGTTTTTTGATCCTGGTGCTGCAGAGCAAGGGCAGACTGGATCTGTGCTGAATGTGTGCTGAAATATTTACAATTGGCCCCATGTGTTTTATCTGATGTTTCCACTGCAGAGCAAATACTCATGAAGTGAATGCATACATGAATGATGCAGCCACCTCTAATTTGTACCCATTCAATTCTTAGATTGCATCACTGCATGCACTCTCAATCCTTCTGTTTCTCAAATATGTCATGGTGGGCCTGGGATAGTGGTAGTATGACCTTGAGCATATGGTATCAAGTGGGGTGCCCCAGGGTTTTTTTTTTTTCAGTAGCTTCATTACAGATCTGGAAGATGGGTTGGAGTGCACCCTCAGCAAGTTAGCAGGAGATACCAAGCTGTGGGGTATAGTAGATATGCTGGAGGGTAGGGCTAGGATTCAGTGACCTAGAAACATGGGAGGGTTGGTCCAAAAGAAATCTCAGGAGATTTATTAAGGACAAGTGCAAAGTCCTGCACTTAGGAAGGAACAATCTCATGCACCAGTACAGGCTGGGGACCAGTTGGCAGCAGCTCTGCAGAAAAGCACCTTGGGGTTACACTGGACAAATAAGCTGGATATGAGCCAACAGCATGCCCTTGTTGCCAAGAAGGGTAAGAGCATACTGGGCTTCAATAGTAGGAGTGTTGCCAGCAGATATAGGGAAGTGATTATTCCCCTCTATTCAGCACTGGTGAGGCCACATCTGCAGTTCTGTGTTCAGTTTTGGGGCCCCCACTGCAGAAAGGATGTGGACAAATTGGAGACAGTCTAGATGAGGGCACCAAAAATAGTTAGGGGGCTGGGGCACACAACTTATGAGGAGAGGCTGAGGGGACTGGGCTTATTTAGTCTGCAAAAGAGAAGAGTGAGGGGGGATTTCATAGCAGCTTTTAACTATTTGAAGTGTCGTTTCAAAGAGGATGGAGCCAGACTGTTCTCAGTGGTGACAGATGACAGAACAAGGAGCAAGGGGCTCAAGTTGCAGCAAGGGAAGTTTAGGTAAAACTTTCTCATAGGAGGGTAGTAAAACACTAGAACAGGTTACTCAGAGGGGTGATGGACTCTCCATCGTTGGAGGTTTTTTAGACCCGGCTAGACAAAGCCTTGGCTAGGATGATTTAGTTGGGGATGGTCCTGCTTTGAGCAGGGGGTTGGACTAGATGACCCCCTGAGGTCTCTTCCAACCCTAATTTTCTATTATTTGATTAAATGGCCTTTTTATTCCTAGGAACCTGGCTGCCCTACTTAGCACAGGCTAGATTTTCTGCAGTGCTGAGCTCTCACAATAATCACTGAAATCAGTGGGAGATGAAAGTACTTAGCATCTTTGAAAATCAAACCCCATCAACCTTACAGGGTCCCAAGGACATTGGCAATGTCTCTGGAAGTGACCCTTTCCTTTTGTTGCAGAACTGACTTCTCAGCCACCGTGTTGAATTGACAGCTCTGAGGCTGACACCCTCTCCTTAAATGACTGACTAGCCTCAGAGTAGGATTAGGTACAGCACAAAGCTTCTCTCTCAATACCCTGCAAATATGTCTCAGCCTTGACCTGGAGTGACCCCCCTGTAGGGCTGAGTGAAGAGTTCAGTCTCTATGGCTCATTCACTCACTGTCCTGTAGGCTGAATTTGCTATCAAAAAAGCCAGCTGCAATGTGGATACCCTTCTACATGAAATTGGACTGATACTGTCAACTTATTTCATAAAGACCATCAAACAACTCTTAAACCGAGGCTGGCTTTGAACCACTGACCTGAAGGTGAAAGGCTCTTTGTCTCATTATCAGTCCCCCGAGTCTTTTGGTTCTTTCCCCAGCCCCCCAGGCCACATGATCTGCCCTTTTTGATTGCTAACATAGCAATCTGTCCCCTTTCTCACCTGTTCTCACATCCTGGTTTATTTCCTTGTGGAAATTAATTTTACTTTACCCATTCAACTGCAAGGGATCTTGACCCGAGGATGATTATCAGTGAGAACTTCTCTTAACCCCAGCTCTCTAGTGAAGTGTACCATTCTTTTTTTTTCTTCCTTGTCTGGCTACAAGTTACTTAAAGAAGAATGTTTCCTGTGAGCATTTCCTTTAAATATTGATTCATTTTTACAGGTAGATAATGCCCCAGATCTGAATGTTCACAGGTTCCCCCCTTGCTTGAATAAGTACAGAGAGCTCCATTAAGCTGGACCAAATTGGAGATGGATGGTCCAAATCCACAGAGGTTTTATCATTCAAGAGGCCAAATGTTACAGTCAGTGCTGCAGTCACTCTTCTAGAAGGCAGAAAGAACCATGAGATCCAAAGCAGTAAGGGAAAAAAATCCCAGAATGCCCTTTTCAACAGATGGATTTATATATCTGAAAGGAAATGCAGATACCAACATTTTTCATTAGCTGAACAAGAACATCCTTCACCTGTGACTTAAAAAGCTGGAGGAGGACATTTGCACTGCTCCTTTCCTTAAGATACAATCTCCCATGTAATGCTCTGAAGTCTTCAAACACCTGGCATGTAGTCCTAGCCTTTTTATTTCATGGTGAGAACAGACCCTTTGCCAAGAAAAGGAATCAGAACTGGATAAACATTAAACAAATACTTCAGGGAGCTTTATTTCATTTGTGATACATCTTTAGATTTTTGTATTTGAGCTGCTTTGTGTGGGATTAAACTTCTGATGTGTTCAACTTTTTTCCCCCCCTCTTCTCTCCATATCTTAGGTAACATAGTAGTCAGCTGGGAAGACAGGGCTGGCCTGATGGTATAAGAAAGAAGTCAAAGAAGATTTTTAACCCTCTGTAGCTAGGGCTGCAGCACAAACTCCATCCTAATGGATCACTCTGTGACCCTGACTCCCACTAGAAGCAGCTCAGATCTTCTGTTATTTCATTCTATCAAAAGACAGGGCCAGAAAATCCTTTAGCAGCACTTGCTTTTCCCTGATGCAGCCCAGCTCTGCACAGATTTAGAGGAGAAATGCTCCAAACTGGGCTCTGCTTTACACAGTGAGTTAATAGCCCTGATACAGCTTCTTCCAAGTGCTTCACCTCCTATAGCAAGGCAGCAAAGCAATGAAGTACCCGAGATAGAGTAGGGGTATAAAGCAATGCTGCAGGACTTCATTAGATACCTTTTTCCCCCTCTAGCTATGGTCTTCTATTTCTGATAGCTCGCATGTTTATGGTTGAATGTGCTGGGTGGTCTTGGGGCTCTCCAGGTTGCTGAGTTCACCAGGGCAGTGCTGCATGCCGAAATGTTTGTTGTTCACATCACATTTGAAAGAAATCCAGATGTCAGTGGAAAAAAGTGCTAATGCATTTTCATCTGGTGGGATTTTTGTTGTTGTTCTAGTCTCTCTCACCTTGATGCCTCATTTCACCTGCTTGCTGCCAGAGGCTATTGGACAGCATGCCTATTCTCTACAGGAAACAATGAACGAGAAATTACAACAACCAAAAAATGTCAGCGGTTGCCAGTACAGCCCAGGCTCCAATCAGCTGCATGGTTTCTTTGACAGTGGCTAAAACTCCCATCTGCTTAGAGTGAAGGACATACTACTCATTCCAGCACTGCTGCTATTCCTCTTTAGTGAAAGAATTAGGCTCAGTTGATGGCACTGTGTATTTACACGGCAATGTAGCTATTGGGCTAAATTCTTATTGCCTTGCATGCTCTTTGTCTGGTCAGGAAACAGGAGTGGCACATGCACTTCTGACTGATGGAGCTTCTCTGCGGAGATTCACATGTGCAGGACATTTTCAAATCATAAGCATGTCTGAATCTGCAATTGGTCCTGTACTCGGGGCTGAAGGGCAACTGCAAAAGCAGTCATGCTGAGGAGGTGTAACAGGTCGCTCTCCCCAGCACCATCTTCCCAGTCATCCGCGCCTTGCATGGGGTGGCCTTGGAGCCCTCCTTGGAATTCATCTGTCCCGCCCTAATCTTGCCTGCCACGTCTTGATGGAAGTCAATATGCGAGAGAAAGACTGCCTATTGTATTGGGTATGTTAGGGGTCTCTCCCAAGATGGCTTGACCCCCTTTTTTCTCTAGCTAGGTCTCCTTGTCCAAACCCACTACACAGCGTCTGACTCTGAGGCTCTAGCTTTTTCTTTCAGTGCCTGGAGGCTCGTGGCCCTCTTTTCTGCTCCTTTCTGGAGCCCAGCATTCCCTGGCCCTGAGGCATGGGTGCTGCCCCCACAGGCAGCTGCAAGTTCAAAACCAGGGTGCAACCTTTGAACCTGCCCTGTCAGTCCAAATGAGAAAAAAAAAAACCTGAAAAAAGGTGGTGCCCAGCAAGCCAAAGTGCCATGCACCAAGACAAATACCTACTCCCCAACCTCTGCATTCTGTGGAGCCCCTGCACTGAGGCACCCTGCGCCCCAACCAGGCACACCCCAGCTGGCTGGGGCACAGTGCACCTCAGGAAGGGAGCAGTGTGCCTCAAGAACAGGCAGCCCTGGACTGGCACTCTCCTGTCACTGTGTGCCTCAGTGCAGGGGCTCCACTGAACCCTGTGTCAAGGCACACTGCGCCCCAGCCAGGCACAAAACAGCATGCCTTAAGATGGGGAAGCATCCAGCCCAGGACTGCCTCCTCCCCTGGCTCTATGTGCCCCCATGCAGGGGCTCCACAGTGCGCCACCACAGTACATGGAGATGGGGGAGCATGCAGCCCAGGACTGCCTGCATTCTTCTCTCCACGTGTCATTCCCCTGCTGGCTGGGGCATAGGGTGCCTCAGCGCAGAGGGTGTCTGCTGGCTAACCCTGCACTGAAGCACCCTGGGTCCCAGTCAGCCCCCCCCCCC